AAAAGAGTCAAGATCTTTATGAAGCCTTAGGCTTCTCTTTTCCCCTGTCCTGAGATCGATGGGCCTCAGAATCTACCCTCTTGGAGTAGCCTGCCAGTTTTTTCACCTTCCCCTGCCTCCTTTTCCCTACAGTTCCTCACATTGCTCCATTCCCTCCAACCTGAAAGGGATTAGGACTTGGAAGGGGGTAATCCCTGTGCCAAAGAAAGACCTCCCACATAGAGTGGACTAGACATAAAATGCTGCCTTATGCTGGAAATCTAATAGCAAAGGGGTCCCTGTAATTGTTATCAGACACTTTAAGTAACATATATTCGATTGAAGGATTGCTAGAAGGAAGAGCTTTCCAAGGGGGAATTGCCCCCATCCCACTTATATCCAGGTCTACAACTCATTTTAGGTAAGTGTTTCTGTGATTTCATTAGTGTAGTGAATCCTAAAAGCAAAACTGCAAATGATAGTTTTAGAAAGTTGCCTGTGCCCAGGGTCACATAGCCAGGATGGGTCAGAGGTACCACTCAATAACCCTTGTCTCCCTGTTAGGCATAGGCTGGTATAGAACATTCTGTCGATGTTCTAGCCGCTACACCAGGTTATGCAAGTAGAAAAATGACATTATTTATATTTTACAGATGAGAAAACTGGGACTCGGTTTCTTTAAATGGTTTGCAAAATGAAGTAAGTGCTATATTTGAATTCCAACTACAATGCTCTTTCTGCTATAAGACAAAGCCCTCCTGAATGGTCCTAGCTCTGGCCTATGACCTTCGATGATGTGTTTCCTCACAACATTTTATCCTCTGATTCTCATACATTATACCTTCCCTTCACTGCTCCTTCCTGTTAATGCTGGCCATAGACTAACCCTGACTGATGCCTCTCTCCTCATAGCTTTCTCTCATTCCTCCCTTCCTCCTGGCTCTGCCTCCCTGCTTCCAGGTAGCCTACCGGAATCTTCAAGTTAGATAGTCACACCCCACCCCCATCCCACATTAAGTTCTGCCCAGCATCTAGCATAGGTTAGCATGAATGTCAAAGAACTGATGAGTTTTAGTGGTGCCTTGGACAAATCATTTGCTTCTATTTTCTCATCTGTAAAATTAAGAGTTTTAACTAGGTATCTAAGGTTCCATGATGGTCAAACTCCTAAGAGGCTTTCTAGATCTCCTTTTTCTTTGCTCCTCTTCTAGTTACTGACCTCTCCCCACCCTCAAGCTGCACTCTGGCTACTCCAAATCCTCATTTCATTACCCTATGGTATACAGGCTGCTCTCCTGCAAGTGATGGGTGCACCAGAATTAATACCTCTCTTAGTCTCTGGTATCATTAAAATTGACTTTCCCTGTCAAGTGGATTTCAAATGTTAGAGTAATTCTTACTGGGGTGAGGGTGGCTGATAGCCCTTAAATTTTACATTAAAAAAGGAATTTGTGAATCCAAATGAGTTTTAGGGAGAAGCTATGGGAATCAGCTACTGACCATTCCATTTCCCAGGGTTGCTGACCCATAGCTTTAGAGTTGAAAAGTTCAGGCAATATTCAAAGTCACAGTAGGAAAAGGGAAGATATTCAGACCAGGGAGACAGACAGTAAGAATGACCTTCTGGGGTCATTTCTCTGGGCTTCAAGTTTCAGCTTCCCAGACACTTGGCCATGAGTAGCTTCCCCACAGGAAATGAGTTGTTCAGAAGTAGCAGAGACGACCCCTTGTGTTGGGCTTGACCACCAGATGTCAAGGAAGGCTTCAGTTTGGTTTGGCCAAGAGTGGCCTTCAGGGGAACCTGTGACCTGACCCAGGGAAGGGAAAGCAAAAGGAGGAGGAACAAAGAGCAGAGACCTCTTAGCCTTCTTGGAGCCCCAAGAATTTCTTCTCCCAAAATTCTTCCAGTATAATCTTGATCTAAGGTGGAGTCAAAAAGGGTCTCAATTTGAGAACAGGAGACTCAAGATGTTTTGGGGTAGGCAGGTGCTGGGGGCTGAGGGCACCCAAAGGAACAGCTTCCTCCTGGCTTCTCAGCTGGCTGTCCAACCCCCTCCTCGAATCTGGGTGTGGCCCCCCTCTCTGGCCAGCCTCGGCACGTTTTGTACCCCCCCAACCTTCCCCCCCACCACCACCCCAGCTTGCCTCCTGCTCATTAAACTGCAGGTGAACTCAGCAGCATCTGGCATGGCGCCAACCCCCGCCCGACTCCGCAGCTCTGGACTCGCCCCCACGCTTCAAAGCCACCGCTTTCTCCAGACCCCTGTGCTCCAGCTCTCAAGAGGCTATATGGGCTGGGTCTAAGTGAAGCAGGATGCCTGGGTTCATCCATCTCTCTCTCTCTCTTTCTCTCTGTCCCTCTGTCTCTTTCTCTCTGTCTCTGTCTGTCTCTCTCTCTTTCCCTCTCTCCCCGCCCCTCACCAGATTAAGACTGGACTAGAGACAGTCACCCCCTTCTGGGCTCCAGACACTATTTCACTTCCTCTCAGTCCCCCCACACACTTGGCCCCGCCTCTTCAGCAGAGTGGACACAGAGAGACAAACAGAAGAGCAAGAGGGATTGGGAAAGGTGGAGCTAGAGAGCCCAAGCCAGCCTGGGAGGTGGCTTGGGATAAGTCAGTTTCTTCCTCAGGTTTCTCCCAGTATACCAGTATAATCCTAAGAGAGCTGGAGGGTCTTGGAATTGAGGGTAGGAAAGAATAAGTCAAAGGAAGCCAGAGAGAGTGAGAGCAAGAGTGAGAGACAGAGAGAGACAGAGACAGAGAGATACAAAGAGAGAGACACAGAGTCAGACAGACATAGACGAGGTCAAGAAGAGAGAGGACAAGAAACAAGATCCAGAAGAGAAGGGAAGGAGGGACTTGTGCACAGAGACAAAGACAAAGATAGAAGACTAGCAATGAGGCCCAAGAAGGAAGGGGGAGTGGGAGATACAGATACAGAGACCATCGAGAGAGAAGATAACCTAGAAAATCGGGGGTAGGAATAGAGGCCTGGCAAGGTGAATTGAGGGAGAGGAGCTGAGTCCGGGAAGCCGCCAAGATATGAAAAGTCTGAAGAACCTGTCACTTCGTGTTGGGGAGCAGAGGCCGCAAAGGGCGGGGAAGCAGGAAGGGGGGGGTCAGAGAAGTGGGGACGGAGGGGCAGCAAGGAGGCCAGGCTCTAAGATAGGCCCTGCAGGAAGTGGGAGGCCCAGACAGGGAGAAGCATTGAGGGGGATGAGGGGCCACAGTAAGCCTCCTCTCTACTGGCCCTATGGGGTCCCCGGCTTTGCTTCGCGCGAGTTGGGTGCGGGTGGGGAGAGGGAATGGAGGGGGAGACTTTGAAAGCAGCTTGTCTGGAGCGCGGGAGCCGTCTGGATCGGCCCCGGGGGGATTAGATCGCGGCTACATGCCGCCACACGCGTGTCGGGCTGGGCTCAGCCGGGCAGAAACACAGCCCCGGGCGGGCGGGGGAGGGAGGCGGGGCAGGAGGAGAGAGGCGGGCGGGGCCCGGGGCTGGGCTTGGGGGAGGCTAGGGTTGCTCCCCATTCTAGGGGTCGAAAAAATGGGTATGAGAATGGCAAGAAGGAACTGGCTCATTAGTCTGACCGTCCATGCCCAGGGTTCCTTCTAATGACCGGGAAGCCTACACTTGGCCTCCCTGTCTCCGTCTAGTCCAGTTTACACTTCCAAAGGGTAGTTTTTCACCCCAATCTTAGGGAGTACCCCTTGTTGAACTAAGTTTGGTTGGGAAAAGGCCTAACCTGTCCGAATACACCAGCACACTGTTTCAATATATTGTCTTCCTTTCAGCTGATAAGAGAGACCAGTTTAACTAGCCAGGCTAATAAAACATGAACTTGAAAGAAATCGATCAGTTCCTAAACCACATCAAGACTGGGAGAGGCAAGTGTGAAAAGTGAAACCATGAAACCCCCCTCCCAAGGAGGGCAGTGGACCTGGAAGCAGAAAGCTGAGTGGGAATCCTGGCCAAGCTTCTTGTGAGACATTGGACAAATCACTCAACCTTGCCTGGCCTCACTAGAAAATGATGTAGAAAATGAGGGGATTTGGCCTGATGATCTCAGGTCCCTCCCAGCTCTCAATTTTGTGTTTCCAGCTTCCTCCGCTGGAGTTCTATCCACTGTCAGAGAAGTCCTGCTATTCAGTAGAGATAAGTTTTTCAATGCTAAAAAATCTGTGTGTTTGATGTGCAGAGAAGTACAGTCATCAGCTTCGTTTCTCCCATCCCCTCTGAACCCAGAGAATTTCTCAGAGTGAGTGACTTTGAGGAAAGTTATTTGTATACTAGGGTGGGAGAAGTGCTAGATGGATGGGCCTTGTGGCCCAAATATAGAGGCTCAAGCCTTCACCCCACCTCTCATCAAACTCTGAGTCATAAATGGGAGATTATGACCAAATTTCAGGCTTCTGTGACTCTAGCTGAAAGCCAAGGTTCCCACCTACCTCATTTTACCTTCTTTATCCTCTCCTCTTTCAAACAGACCTCTTCTTTCCCTTCTTAATCTTAAATGGCAATCTTAATTAATGGAAATCTTAAGTGTGGCCTGTGTGGCTCACACTTTGTTGGCTGAGGGAATAGCAACCAGATTTCCGGAGCCCTACCCTCTCTACACACTTTTTGAGCAACCCAAGTTGGCTTCATTCCCCCTATAGGGTCAGGATAGTTATTCAGGATACCTGGGTTCCTGAATCCTGGACATTCTATATATTTTGTTCCTTTGTGACATGGTTAGCAGACCACCTCCTCCCCCACCCCACCTCCTAAGGTCAGAGATGCCTGGAATAAAAGAAAGATTTGAGTTGAGAAAAACAGGAGGGAAATAGGAACCAGTAGGAAGCAGAAACTTTGAAAGACAGATAATAAAGAGAATGTAAGGGCCCAGAGACCAGGAGACCTGAACTAGGAGTCAGAAGTAAGGAAAGGCTAAAGAGTAGATGGTGTATGGAGTGTGAGAGGATATGGAAACTGCAAAGGCTGTAGAGCGGGGCTGGGGAGAGGAGGAAGGTTAAGTTTACCTCTGCTGAAGATGGGGCTTTCGTAAGGGATCTTGTTTCGGGTCTCCAGGCTGGAGCAATTCCAGCGCTGGTCCCGAAACTGATGCTGGCACTCATGTATGGCAATCTGGATGCCCTGGATGGCGGAGGCTGCCACATCCGGGTGACGTACGCACACTTCCAGTTGGCGTCGGCTCAGGCCTGGCAATGTCAGACATACCGTGTTGGCATTCAGCACAGGCTCTGGTGGCAGTCGAAGGCCCAGAATGTCATTTGGTTCTGACCTGCAGGTATGGGGGATGTGGGGAAAAGTAAGGACCATTAAGTAAGGCCTTAGACTGAGCTGGGGGAATTGGAGAGCAATGGCATGGACTGTTTCTTAGACTTGCTTATCTCATACATATAAATATATTCATACACATACACACAAAATCTATTCCCTCTCTCTTCTCAGTTCCTTCCATTCTTCCCCGGCTCCCCCCCACCCCCCCACCCCCCCCACCCCCCGCTTTCTACTCTTACTTCCCAAATGATAAGAACATTTTACCTCTTACCTCACATAGAACTTTGGTTTTCACATCTCATGTAACATTGTATTTTACAGTTATCTATGTTGATGTCATCCCTCAGAATTCAGGGAAGGTTGGGAGCATGTCTTATTCCAAATTGGATTTTCTCCCAGGAAAGCCCAGTGCTAACACAGTGCTTTCCACACAGTATTTAATAAACAATGCATTAAAAAATGAATAAAGCTTCAGCAGAATCCTGAATATGCCTCGCCACTCTCCTTCAGAGCTCTTTCCCTGACTTCTTCCCTCTCTCAACCACCTTCCCAAATACAGCGACATATAAACCCAGCCTCACATGCATACACACAGTTTGCAGCATCACACCTATAGAGTACACATAACACAATATCTCTCACATACTTCTAGAAACACAAAGATTTACATGGGAGGTAATGTTATCCTTAGTATCAGCATGCTGACTGGATTCAGAATCCAACATTTGAAATCAGTATCTAACACACACACGTAGACATAAACAGAGTGGAACCCTCCCAGGCATGAATAATACAGTACTCACACATTTTCAGAAAAACTTTCACAGACATCTATTTTCAGAAATACAAGGAGCCAAGCCACACTCAAAAAGGGAGAACTCCCTTCTGTGCCCCTTTGCTGACCCCACCTGGGGCCGCCTCCTTTTCACCCACCCCCATCAATTGATCCCACCCATGGGGGAGATCTCTACAATGGGGAGGGTGGGATTGTTTTGGGGTGCCCTCCCTGAGAGTCCCCCTAAGAGGAAGACGTTAACTAGACATGATTAGGAGACTGAATTTGGCAGCTGTCCCCAACACTAAAAGGATCTATCCCTCTTCTTGGCGTTGCCCCCTCTGGAGCATCACTGGATTGGTCCCCTCTGAGTGTTACCCTCTCCCCAGGGAGGACAGCTCCTCCCCTCCGACCCCCACCCCAGTCGGGGTCCAAGATGACTGTCCTCTGGCCTGGGCACATCACTCACTCCCTAGCAATGCCGGTCTTCCAGCCGAGCCTTGAGGGTCTCCCAAACTCTTCGGGAATCCTTGGTGTCCCAGAAGGCGGGGCATGAGGAGGGAGGCAGGAAGATAGGGTGAGAGGGGGCGGGGGTCTCACCTGGGCACGGCTGCGGCCAACAGGAGCAGGAGCAGCAGGAGCGCGCAGAGCGCCGGCCGAGGCCGGGCCCGGGGTCGGGGCCGGAGCCGGGGGCGAGACCGGGCGCTGCCCATGGCTGGGCCGGGGTGAAGGACTTAGAGCCCGGCAGGGCTGGCGCGCTGCTCCGCGGGCGGGGGGCGGCAGCGCATGGTACGCCCGGGCAGGGGAGGCAGACCGGGTGAGCAGAGCTAGCGCCTGGGCGGCCGGCAGTGGCTCCGACCTTCTGGAGGTTCCGGCTTGGGCTCGAGCTCTGGTTCTAGCTCGGGTCAGGGCTCCAGGGGCAGACGCCGCCCGCCTCCCCGCTCCATGGGGCAGCGCCCCGGGGCACCGCCCTCCGGGGGGGCGGGCGCGCGGGGCACCTCCTGGCAAGGGTGGACGAGGGGATTTCCCCCTTACCCCCTCCCCTTCCACCGGCTCCTGGCGAAGCCTGAGGTGTGGGGAGGGGGGAGGAGAAAGCCGCGAGGCACAGCTTAGGGTGGCAGATTCAAGGGGCAGGGAGCCGGCAAAGAGCTGGAGGTTGGAAGCAGTGAGGCTGGACTTCCTAAGGGCTCTGAGCTCTCAGCTCCAAGGGACGTCGCTGTCTGCCCCTCCGTCCCTCTGTCCCGAAGCCCAGTGTATAAGTGACTGTCCTGGCCCAGAGGAACTCAACCGCCTCAGCCTCCTCCCCCCCCCATTCCCCCACACAGCTCCCCCCCACTCCGTCCACCCCTCCTCTCCCCCTCCACCCTCAGCATTTAGTGCTCCGGCTCTACCTCCTGGTGACGTCACAGACCGGGATTGGGGGAGGGGGGCGGAGCAGGGGGCAGGGGGGAGGGGGGGCGTGTGTGTGTCCGAAGGCCACAGAGTCGGCTTAAGGCTTTGGTGGTAGGTTGGAGTGAATGCACGTGTAGAGACTCGGTGGGTGTTGGCGTTTCTGCGTTTGTTTGTGGGTCGGAAGGCCTGTGTTTGTATTTATGACTCTGTCAGTGTGTGAGTTAGTTATGTTGGGAGCTGTGTTTTTGTGTGGGAGTGTGATGTCAGTGTGTGTTGTGTATGTGCCTGTGTGTGTCCTCCTTGAAAATGCAACTGCCGAGGTCAGCCTCCCCCTGCCACCTGCAGCAAGGGCAGAAGTCCGAGCAGAAGTTGCTGGGAGTGCAATCCCCGCTCCAGCCGTAATCCTGCTCAAGAAAGGCGATCGTGGCATACGTGGTGCAGTCTAAGACCAAAGATGGGGAGCCTTGAGAGGGACCTGCTTAGTTGACCAACTTCATTTTCAGTTGGTTCCCTATTCCAACAAGGAGGCAGTCTGATAATGCTGAAGTGTCCAGGGGGCTCTCTGGGGCTCTAACCAGAAAGGGAAGGGTGAGCTCTTTCTCTGTGCCCCTCCAGTATTATGAACATATGTGTGTTCTGAGGAGGTTAGAGGGCTAAGAAAGAAACCAATTCACAAGGAGGACAGGAGACCTGACTTCTATTTCCAGCTTGGTCCCCAGTTTATTGTGGGGCCTATTTTTCATAGGCCACCCATAGGCCTTCAATCTCCCCTCCTTAAATGGGGATGACCCACCATACACATTCCACATCCCTTCCTGACCCCTCCCAACATCACCATCTCCCTGAGAAGCCCCACTTAGCTGAGGGAAGGGACTGTTCGAGTCTCTGGGCTCAGAGACAAAAGGGGCCCATTCCTGGAATCTCCCTTCCCTAGGGAATTGGTTGGGGGGAAGGAGGGAGGGACAAACAGGGAGGGACCTTCCCAGTATCCAGATCATCAGGTGGTAGGGGCAACATGAGCAGGGAAGTTTCTTCCATCCTCCCCTTCCCCCGCTTCATCAGGCCCTCCAGCCACAGCAGCTGGCGGGAATTAAGGGCTTGAGGCTGCTGGAAGGAGTGGGGGCAGAGGGGGAGAGTGGTGGAGGGCAGTGGTTAGGGAGAAGTCTGGCTGGACAGCAGGAAAACAGCTGGGGGCTGGAAGCAGTCTGCGTCAGCAAGCCTTGTCTGACCTTGACCCAACTCAGAGCCCCCCTCCCCACTCACCTCTTCTCTGGGCAAGCCGGACAGTGACATCTTGGGCCTAAGAGGCTGAGCATGGGACTGTCATGTCAGAGAGAGAGAGAGGACAGAATAGGACAAGACAGAGCAGTGCAGGACAGAATTCAAACAAAAGTGTATTTCCAAGCTAAGAAGTAGAGCAATGAGAGGCAGAAACTGTCCCAATTAAAATTCTTTTGATCCAGGCAAAAGCAATGTGGTTTGGTCCTGGAGACATAGGATCATAGTTCACTTATTAGCTGGGTGGCCTTAGAAAAGACATTTAAGTTATTTGGGTCTTAGTTTCCTAATCTGTAAAATGGATGGAGGGGTGTTATATCTACTTCACAGGGTTAAGAAAAAGATAATTTGAAAATCTTAAAGTGTAGTTAGATGAATGTGAGTTATTATCATGGAATCATAGACTTTTAGTGCTACAAGTGATGTCTAGACCACCCTGCTCATTATATAGCTGAGAAAAATGAAGCCCAGAAAGGGAAATGATTTTGCCCAGGGTTGAACAGCTGTTAGAGGCAAAGCCAAAACTCTTTGAGACCAGATCTCTCCTTGGGTAACTCAGGGAAACCTCTGTGTTTCCGCTTCCCTCCTAGAGACAGGCAAGTGTCCCTTCTGCTCCTTTTCAACAATCCTTGTGGGTCTGGAGTGGGGGAGGGGGTGTCAAACTTCTCCTCTGAGGTTCCACTCAGTACAGAAAATGATGTACAATCCCCAAGATCCAACCTTGAACCCCTCCCCACACACTTGCTAGAGCCTGGGCTCCTAGGGATTCTTTTTTTCT